TATGAATATTTTCTGTAGGTTGAATTCAGAAAATGGGATGAGTTGATGCTTATAAAGCAGTGTTTCACCGCTACACAGAAAGCTGTCCGACAACCCCTGGGAAAGTTTTAATCCTTCGCCTTTGCCTGTGCCTCGGCGTCTCCTTATCCCTTCAGATAAGGATAAACAACAAAGATGGTACTAAAAATGTGCTTATTTCGGTGTGAAAGCTTACTTTCATTTTGTATTGCCAGAGTATTATTTTCAACATTGTAAAGTATTCACATCAGAAAGTAAAACTTTTATTTAATTTACACTTTAGCTACAGTACTAGAGACAGATTAAATTTTCCCATTGTTAGGTTATTTGGTGGAGGTTAAGAATGCAATTTTTATTTTGAGTAATGGATAAATACTTTGATATAGAAGTAATATAGCACGTTAGAAATTAAGTTTGACATGCCAAACACATTATATGATAATTGTCGATGATTTAGACTTTTCAAATACTAATAAATGCGTGGGTATATAAACCGTAATACCATTATTGGAATGCCCTCGTGCTCCGATGACTTTGAGAAATGGGCGGGGAACTCTCCATTTTTCCTTCAGTGTAAACATAGTACCTTGTAGTGAGAGAGAGTATAATTGTGACTGACAGGTGAAAAATTACCTTTTACCATTCTCTACATAGATTCTCACCTTGCCTCTCTTGACTCCAAGATCTTCGTACATATCTTTATTTAAAATCGTCAGGTATGGATGAGGATGTATATCCTTATGGCCCTAGAAAAAAGTAGTGACTCGGCCTTGATAGTGTTTGAAGGTTCCACCAAATATTGTAGTGGGATGTTGCTCAACCTCGATCAAGTTAGGAAGTCCAAGCCTAATGGAGATTACTTGAGGGATGATATGTTACAAGGGTGTCAACCCTCGACCGCGTGGGGAGATGTAAGCTCTTGAGAGTCCTTGATTGTGTTGATAAGCTTCATGTCTCTATCTAGCATATATATGAAAATGTAATAGTGGTAACGATGGTTTTGAATGCAGTTAAAAGTCATTATGAAAAACCAACAACCTGATGATTCTAGGAAAAAAGATTAAAACAAGATCAATAATCAATTATTTTTTTTAAACGATTTCAAGAGTGTGTATATCAGTCAAAAGATAACTTGATGCTTTTTCTCATGCCCAATGATCTCTCAATACAAACCGATAAGTGTATTACACTTATTCGGTGTCTAAAATAGCAATATTTGATAGTTTTTTTGACAAATGATATCCTAATTTATTGTATTTTATATTTAATAGGCAAAACTCTATTAATGACAAAGGAATTGAAAGAAAGAAGCAAAAGTTGGTGAGAAAATTGCAAAATCCAAAGCACGAGGATTAAATTGGCCATTGAATGAAAGTTGAGGGATCAAATTCTGTACTTTGAAAATTGAGGACTTGGAAAAAAAATTATTAATGAACCTCAAATTAAGAGTTGGAATTGGAATGAAATCCAATTAATTGGCTAGCAATTAAAGTCCTACAAAAGAAAGACTCCAACTGGGACAAAAACATTGGTGGCTGACTTGGATATTTTTTTAACCCAAAAAGACGCATACATAGGGAATTAGAATCCTTTGGAGTTTGGAGTGAAACATAGGGCTGTCTACTGTTGAATCATATTATATATACACACAAATTGGCGGCTGAGGTTTACAAAGAAAAGGGTAGAATTGAAGAGTAGCCGATTGCCGAATTGAATATATATTGACATAGAAAACGGGAAAGAAAAAGGGCAGCTTTGCATGGTCAAACATTGTGGCTGTTATTATATATATACAAACACATAAACTGAGGCAACTGGGAGAGTCAAAAATTGAGGCTGGATTATATACATATGTGCAGAAAACAATGAAGAAGAAAAAGGCGACGGATTCACTTTGGAAAAAAAATTTAATCACGTTTCGTCAAATTTTGGTGATGTCTTTTAACTTTTACGTATTTAATTCGATATTTTACACACTATTATATTACTTGTTCATAATTCCGTTCATTTGCGGGAAATCAAACAATCAAGTTTTTTGCGCCGTTTTTCGGGGACTACTGTATTTAATTAGTTTTAGCTTTAATTTGAATTTTTGTATTTCTTATTTATTTAGTTTCATTTATTACAAAAATATTACAATCTCGTATGAGAAGTTTGAGAACTGGTGATCTTGCTTAATTTGATCCGGAGATCGAACGAATATTCAACTTTCAAAGAAGACAATAGTTGGAAGCACACCAAAAAAGAAAGAAGGAGAAATGACAAACGAAAATTCGAATCAAATAGCCATTCGGGGCTAATCCGGGAATTGCACAAGCGAACATAGATGCAGTAAATGAAAATGCAAGGCTCATTGGCAAGTATATGGTATCATCTGTTGTAAAAAGCTGTCTAGCATCGTATATTCGACATTTATTCCACTTGAGGAATGATGTTATCAACATGCTCCAAAATGAGCTATAGTTCTTTGGGAGAGCTACGGAGAATCACAATGTTCATATATCAAGATTTCTGGACATGTATGCAACTATCGAAGTAATCAGACTGAGGCTCTTCCCATACACATTGAGAAACTCGACAAGGGAATGATTAGACATTTGTCCACCCTAGAGCATCACTACATGGAACCAATTACGTCAGAAATTCCTTAGCAAATATTTCCCGTCGAAAAGGATTGCAAAGCTAAATGATGAGATTACTACTTTTCAATAATTGGACTCAAAAGGATTGCTCTGCCAATGCCCACAACACGGGTTGCAGAAGTGACTTCAGGTGTAGTACTTTTATATTGGTCTGAATCCGATTGGCAAGGATAATTTTTTTTTTTTTTTTTTTTTTTTTTTTTTTTTTTTTTTAAAAAAAAAAAAAAAAAAAAAAAAAACCGCTGACCAGGTCTACCAAATCATGGAAGATTTGGCATTCACCAATGTACTTTGGCCTACTGAAAAGACGAGTGGAAAGAAAGCTGTTGGGGGTATTTGAAGTTGATTCTTTGACAACAATTTCAATGCAATTGGCATCGTTGGCAAAGAAGGTAGATCAGATGAGCGTAGCCCAAATAGTAGGACCAAAATGCAAATATTGTGGAGGGAGCCCCGAGAGTATTGATTGTAATGTATGATCTCCTTTTTTTAGACAATAGAAGATGTTAACTACACTCAGAATTTCAAAGGTAACAACACAATCCAAATCAAAACACCTATTACACAGGCTAGCGAAATCACCCAGGATTTCAATGGAATAATAATCATGGAGCTCAGATCGTGCCACCCGAATTTCAGCAAAATGAGAAGAAGTCTTCACTAGAAGAACTTGTGACTAAGTTAGTAAAAATATCCACTCAACATGATAAGAGTGCAAAATATCATAATTTTCCCCCTTAATTATTCCATTCGTGTTATTATTTGATACAAAAATGCACTCATTATACTTATACTTTGATTCATGTAGCATTTTGGTAGAAAAGTTGAAATTTAGAAGAAAAGAGCAAAAAATGACCAAAATGGAAGAAAGTGTAAGTTCAGAGATCAAGTTGAAAATAATCCATAATGAGATGGGCGATGGTATGATGATTCAAGAAATCTAGGAGTCAATTGGGTATAATTTGAAGTCAAAAGAAGTGAAATATGACCAAAACATCTTCACAAATCAATTCCCAATTGAAAAAGTTACGCATTGATTTTCAGCCTTATATTGGAACCTATTTTTGACATGTAAAACGATCTATCTAGAAGATTGTGTCTGAATCAAAGTTGTAGCCCTTTGAGTTATCTTTCCATCAACTTTCAGTTGGTAAATTTCAATTTTAACTACACATTTCATAATTTTTTTTTCCAATCAAAATCTATCAAATGTTTTGTCGCACCTGCCCTAACTATTTTATGTAATTGTAGCAATGTGTATTAAGACATGGTACAATGAGTTAAGCATGATTAAGAAAGAGCAACTATAGTAAAAAAATAATTAGTATACTTTCTCCTTCATTTTTATCTTGACTTTGTACAATCAATGATCGTGAACTAAGGCTATGTTTGATACCAAATGAATTCCATGGAACTAGGAAAAATTCAAACATTTTCCACCTTTGTAGTGTTTGATAGGAAATATTTGTCATGGAAAACATTTTCTACCATTCCGTGCCACCTAGACATTTTCTAGGTTTTGGATATATGGTGAGAATTCATTTTCAAGGCCACTGTAGTAATTTTTTTTTTCATTTTTTTTTGTTGACAATGGAAACAAATTCTAAGAATTATTGTAAAAAAATATTTCCTTTTAATTGATAATTTTCATGTAAAATAAAGCCCAACGAACACCAATAGATAGATTATTTTCTTGATTTTTTTTGTTGGGAATGGAAACAAATTTCATCCCCAATACCAAAAAATTCTTCCATTTAATTGATAATTTTAATAAAAAATAAAGCCAAACGAACATCCAAAAATACTTTTATTTCAACATTTTTCATGTAAAAAATTATACTAATCAAACACAATAATTTACAATTTTCAGGAAAACAATTTATGTGTAATTCAATTCTCTGAAATTCGTTTTTTCCACCCAAATTACATCTTTACAATCAAACGGATCCTAAAGGTCAATATTATACTAGGTTGCAAGAGAACTTCAAAAATATTAGCATTTCCATTTCAGACACATTTGGAAGGTTGAATTTTTGTAGAAATTTTAAAAAATGACCATGAAAATCCCCAAAATTAATATAGTTCGAAACCTTGAAAAATCCTAATAAAAAGTATTAGAAAACTTTTGACCAAATTATTTGAAAATTTAGATTAAGAATCGTATCTTTAAGACTTTCCTTTCCGTGTAACTTAGCTATTTAGTCATGGATCCTTATTTATCCATGTCACCAACACCTTTGTCAAGATAATTAATCATGCTTAGCTCTTATATTATATTGAAAAAAGTCATAAATCAAATATTTCTTTATTCAAAAAAAAAAAAAAAGAAAAGGGAAGAAGAAGAAGAAGGCGGTGTGGCGACGTTTTAGGAGGCGCGTGGCTATAATATCCTACTGATCTCCCTTTCCAACACAAACAGGGAGAGTGCATTGCCTTTTTCATATTCCCAAATTAACCTCTACCTGATATAAATTTACAAATTTATTAAATAAACAAACCCTAGATTACAAAATTAAATTTCAGAAAATCGTGAATTAGAGAACGTCAAATATTAAAAAAAAAACTTGGAAAAAATCCTGCGAGATTAAAGTATTCCTTGAATTGCAACAGAAGGTAAGTGATCTCAGTTTTAGGGTTTTGATTCTCGGGGCTTTAAAGCCGAAATTTGATTTTTAAGTTTCGTTGTTTTAATTGGGGATTTTGTAATTAATGTATTTGTTGGATATTCATTTGATTATTGCATTGATTGATGCAATTTTAAACATTTTAAGGTTACTTTTACGTTTTTGCTTAGTATTTCACATTTTAGTTTTTGCTGATTATCTGTTGAGTAAACATGGTTTAAAAGATATTTGCAAGAATCATGATTGTGTGATTAGAATATTTAAATAGTCACTTATGGTTATAAATGCATTTGATGAATTACTGCTTTAAAATAATTTAATTTGAAGTAGTTTTGTATCAGAAAGTCATGGTGAAAAAAAAAAAATTTAATTACCGGAATAAATGAAGGTCTTATGTTTTTTTCTTATTTTTCTTGCAGTATCTTGGATATTTTAGATTTATGCTTGTGAGACAAGTTCTTAAAAATTAGATGATATTTTTAAATGAATAATGCTACGTAGCAATGATCACGCTTGATAAGTTCAAATAAATGAATCATTTGACCTTGGATTTAACAGAATCTATCATGTAATATTTTACAGTTACCACCTAGGTTGACGCTTGGCACCAGTAATTCTAAATAGCATTACTCTTATTGTTTCTTTCTTTCATTATATGGATTAAAGATTTGAGGTTTGATATGATGTGATTCAATAGTTCATGAAAAAGAAAATCATTTTTTTATTCTTGATATTTGTATGTGTCAACGATGAGATGCAGATTAAAAGTTTTGCTTACTTTTTGTTCGTTTCAGACCTGTCTTTCTGTTTTAATGTTTAGTTCTTGATTCATATCCTGTAACATGACATTTTAATATTGGTTTTGACAGATTCTTATTGCGTGTGTACATTATCACCTATAATGAAGTTCAAAATATTGAGTAACGTGGAGGTTATGAACAAAAGGGATACTCCAGTCTCGTGGCGTAATGCCAAGATACTATCTGTTGATGGCCATACTTATACTGTGCAATATGATTGTTATCCTGGGACGGAAAGTGAACTAGCTGTGGAACGGGTATCAAGGAAGTTTATGAGGCCACGTCCACCTCCGTTGCTACGTATAGAGAATTGTGTAGCTGGGGATGTTTTGGAGGTATTTCATGGTATTTCTTGGAAGCTTGCCACAATTTTGAAGGTTTTGCATGGATGCCAGTATTTGGTGAGGCTACTTGGGTGCTCCCAGGAATTAATCGTCAAAAGAACCAACATTAGGATGAGACAGAGATGGCATGATGATAAACGGATTGTAATGCCAAAGGTACTTTTACTTCATATACTTGATTGATCCAGTTTTTCCATATTTGCTTTACATTGTGACAGTCTCATCCCGTTACGGAAGCTGATTGCTTATATGATTCTTCTGTCTTTTCTGCATGACACCTTGTGCTCATGTTCTTACCCAATTGTTTCTGTGAAATTTCAGTGTTTGTGGGCCTCTGATTTGAAGGGAATGCTTTTGGCTTCTCATCTCAACTGAGGACTGCCAGCTTATTATTATTATTATTGAATTAATGTCCTGTCAATAAGATACCAATTCTAAATGCAAGAATAGCATCTGATAACTGCTTTTTTTTTTACCCAATTATTCGTGTTATCCTTCTTCTATAGAATTCTTTTATTGCTTATAGGCAGTGCAACTTTTTTATTTGCAGTCCATATCTTTTCAAGGAAATGGAGAGTGGAGATTTTTAGATTCAGATATATTGATAAATCTGAATAGTTCTCAGCTTTGCATTCTCTGACTGATATGCTATCTCTTCCTGTTTGCAGGATTCCAGAGGATGCAAGGATGAGAAGGCTAAAAAGCTATCAATTTCAAACTGTGATCAACAATTTAATGCAAAGGCTAAAAGTCAAACACAAAGAGATTGCTTGATCACTCAGAATGATTCTAAATTTAGGGAATCTCCTTTAGTCTCTTTGAGGTCCTCGAAGAGGATGCCTCCCTACTACTCGTCTATCATTGAAGTGCATAATGGACATGCCCAGAAAATAAGAGCAATTGAGAAAGATGATAGGAGGCATAGAGTGGTTGCTTTCTCCGAACTTGAAAAGGTAGATGCTGTTGCATACCCAAGAGAAATTCTGGGTGAAAAATACATGCATGCATCCTTTAAAAATAGATTAAATGAATTTAATCAAATGGAGAAAGCCGAACAAAATATTCTTCTTGGCTGTTCTAAAGTTAGAAGCTCAGAATCTAGTCATTCTGACAGTGATGCTTGTTCTGTTGGTAGTTGTAGTGTTAATGATCAGAATCCAAACAACTGTGCTAGTCATTTTATACCACTCTTTCGCCAAGTGTCAGGTACCGTTTGTAGTGGTGCAGAGTCTTGTTCTGATCCCGTCGAGGTAAAAAATTGTCCGCTTCCTCCAAAAGAGGAAGTAGAAGCTAGTATCCATTGCTTAGAGTTGCATGCTTATCGCTGCACTCTGGAAGCATTGTATGCATCTGGTCCCTTAAGTTGGGAACAAGAAGCTTTGTTGACAAATCTTCGTATTACACTCCATATATCGAATGATGAACATTTGATGGAGCTGAAGTACCTGATTTCTTCTAAAACTGGTACCCTTGCTGGATAATAGTTGTTAAAACTTCTATTTTTTGCATTTTTAGTAGGACTGAGTCCCATTTTATTCTGGTTCAAAATTGTAATAAAGATCACACTGTGAAACTGTGAGAATCTATATAAGTCCGTATCAATTAATTCATGTAGACCAATTTTCGAGATATGGATGTATACCTTCCCGCTTTGGATTTCTTTGCCTAATGTGTTGTTTTGTTATTTCTACTGTAAAAGGCATATTTAGTTTCTTTTCACTACATAAGAACTATTTTTTGGGGTCGAAAGCATTATGTATAACTTTTTCAGGTTCAAGATGTTCATGTAATAAAACCTATAAGGCATCCACAAAGTTAAATATTTTTATTTCAAAGAGGTTTCTGCTTAAACTGTAATGGAGTTTCTGGCCTGAAAACTATTTGTATTGAGCTTTGACTGGTAAACAACTATTTAGATGTCGATATTGATTCTTAGTTAACTAACTAATGTGAGTTTGATTTCCTCCATACACTTCTGGCAGCTTGTTAAGTTCCATTGAGGATTTTATTCATCAATCTTCAATCCCGGCATTTCCAGGGCCACAGGCAATCATCATTTGCTTTCAAAGGCTTAAAGATGATGCCAGGGTTTGCCGTCTCTCTTGTGGCATAAACTACTGGGCAATACAGTCCATGGTATCATTATTTAATTCATGCAAATGTATTATTTAATTCTAGGTTCGCCAGGATTTGCCAACATTTCTTTCTTCTCGAGGGAGAAGCATAGCTGAACATTATTTATTTTTTAGTTACATTTTGATATGCAAGCATTTTTCCTTTTGTTTGGAATTTTAGATAAATGAATGCATGTATGTATCTGAAGATGATGGTGTTGAAGGAAGTGGATATTCATTATCTTTACAAAATTTAGGAACTTAATTGTGTGGATGTTTATCATATTTCCAAATATAGAGGTATAAATTTTATGTCTTCACTGTGAGTATTATTATGTTTATGTTTACAAACAGTAGTAGACTTTCCAAATTTGTCAATTTATTTGGTGAATTGTAGTATTCTACATTGCTAAGATGCCTCTTGTCAAAAGTTAGTAAGTTTTTATGCAAGCCGGATGCAACTTCAAGATTATGCTTATTTTTTTCATAGACTTGCTGGATATGAATATTTTCTGTAGGTTGAATTCAGAAAATGGGATGAGTTGATGCTTATAAAGCAGTGTTTTACCGCTACACAGAAAGCTGTCCGACAACCCCTGGGAAAGTTTTAATCCTTCGCCTTTGGCTGTGCCTCGGCGTCTCCTTATCCCTTCAGATAAGGATAAACAACAAAGATGGTACTAAAAATGTGCTTATTTCGGTGTGAAAGCTTACTTTCATTTTGTATTGCCAGAGTATTATTTTCAACATTGTAAAGTATTCACATCAGAAAGTAAAACTTTTATTTAATTTACACTTTAGCTACAGTACTTTAGACAGATTAAATTTTCCCATTGTTAGGTTATTTGGTGGAGGTTAAGAATGCAATTTTTATTTTGAGTAATGGATAAATACTTTGATATAGAAGTAATATAGCACGTTAGAAATTAAGTTTGACATGCCAAACACATTATATAATAATTGTCGATGATTTAGACTTTTCAAATACTAATAAATGCGTGGGTATATAAACCGTAATACCATTATTGGAATGCCCTCGTGCTCCGATGACTTTGAGAAATGGGCGGGGAACTCTCCATTTTTCCTTCAGTGTAAACATAGTACCTTGTAGTGAGAGAGAGTATAATTGTGACTGACAGGTGAAAAATTACCTTTTACCATTCTCTACATAGATTCTCACCTTGCCTCTCTTGACTCCAAGATCTTCGTACATATCTTTATTTAAAATCGTCAGGTATGGATGAGGATGTATATCCTTATGGCCCTAGAAAAAAGTAGTGACTCGGCCTTGATAGTGTTTGAAGGTTCCACCAAATATTGTAGTGGGATGTTGCTCAACCTCGATCAAGTTAGGAAGTCCAAGCCTAATGGAGATTACTTGAGGGATGATATGTTACAAGGGTGTCAACCCTCGACCGCGTGGGGAGATGTAAGCTCTTGAGAGTCCTTGATTGTGTTGATAAGCTTCATGTCTCTATCTAGCATATATATATGAAAATGTAATAGTGGTAACGATGGTTTTGAATGCAGTTAAAAGTCATTATGAAAAACCAACAACCTGATGATTCTAGGAAAAAAGATTAAAACAAGATCAATAATCAATTAATTTTTTTGAACGATTTCAAAAGTGTGTATATCAATCAAAAGATACCTTGATGCTTTTTCTCATGCCCAATGATCTCTCAATACAAACTGATAAGTGTGTAACACTTATTCGGTGTCTAAAATAGCAATATTTGATAGTTCTTTTGACAAATGATATCTTAATTTATTGTATTTTATATTTAATAGGCAAAACTTTATGAATGACAAAGGAATTGAAGAAAGAAGCAAAAGTTGGCGGGAAAATTGCAAAATCCAAAGCACAAGGATTAAATTGGCTATTGAATGAAAGCTGAGGGATCAAATTCTGCACTTTGAAAATTAAGGACTTGGAAAAAAAAAATTTATTAATGAACCTCAAATTAAGAGTTGGAATTGGAATGAAATCCAATTAATTGGCTAGCAATTGTAGTCCTACAAAAGAAAGACTCCAACTGGGACAAAACCATTGGTGGCTGACTTGGATATTTTTTTAACCCAAAAAGACGCATACATAGGGAATTAGAGTCCTTTGGAGTTTGGAGTGAAACATAGGGCTGTCTGCTGTTGAATCATATTATATATACACACAAATTGGCCGCTGAGGTTTACAAAGAAAAGGGTAGAATTGAAGAGTAGCCGGTTGCCGAATTGAATATATATTGACATAGAAAACGGGAAAGAAAAAGGGCAGCTTTGCATAGTCAAACATTGTGGCTGTTATTATATATATACAAACGCATAAACTGAGGCAACTGGGAGAGTCAAAAATTGAGGCTGGATTATATACATATGTGCAGAAAACAATGAAGAAGAAAAAGGCGACGGATTCACTTTGGAAAAAAAAATTAATCACGTTTCATCAAATTTTGGTGATGTCTTTTAACTTTTACGTATTTAATTCGATATTTTACACACTATTATATTACTTGTTCACAATTCCGTTCATTTGCGGGAAATCAAACAATCAAGTTTTTTGCACCGTTTTTCGGGGACTACTGTATTTAATTAGTTTTAGCTTTAATTTGAATTTTTGTATTTCTTATTTATTTAGTTTCATTTATTACAAAAATATTACAATCTCGTATGAGAAGTTTGAGAACTGGTGATCTTGCTTAATTTGATCCGGAGATCGAACGAATATTCAACTTTCAAAGAAGACAATAGTTGGAAGCACACCAAAAAAGAAAGAAGGAGAAATGACAAACGAAAATTCGAATCAAATAGCCATTCGGGGCTAATCCGGGAATTGCACAAGCGAACATAGATGCAGTAAATGAAAATGCAAGGCTCATTGGCAAGTATATGGTTTCATCTGTTGTAAAAAGCTGTCTAGCATTGTATATTCGACATTTATTCCACTTGAGGAATGATGTTATCAACATGCTCCAAAATGAGCTATAGTTCTTTGGGAGAGCTACGGAGAATCCCAATGTTCATATATCAAGATTTCTGGACATGTATGCAACTATCGAAGTAATCAGACTGAGGCTCTTCCCATACACATTGAGAAACTCGACAAGGGAATGATTAGACATTTGTCCACCCTAGAGCATCACTACATGGAACCAATTACGTCAGAAATTCCTTAGCAAATATTTCCCGTCGAAAAGGATTGCAAAGCTAAATGATGAGATTACTACTTTTCAATAATTGGACTCAAAAGGATTGCTCTGCCAATGCCCACAACACGGGTTGCAGAAGTGACTTCAGGTGTAGTACTTTTATATTGGTCTGAATCCGATTGGCAAGGATAATGTCAACTCTACATGCTTTTAAAAAAAAAAAAAAAAAAAAAAAAAAAAAACCGCTGACCAGGTCTACCAAATCATGGAAGATTTGGCATTCACCAATGTACTTTGGCCTACTGAAAAGACGAGTGGAAAGAAAGCTGTTGGGGGTATTTGAAGTTGATTCTTTGACAACAATTTCAATGCAATTGGCATCGTTGGCAAAGAAGGTAGATCAGATGAGCGTAGCCCAAATAGTAGGACCAAAATGCAAATATTGTGGAGGGAGCCCCGAGAGTATTGATTGTAATGTATGATCTCCTTTTTTTAGACAATAGAAGATGTTAACTACACTCAGAATTTCAAAGGTAACAACACAATCCAAATCAAAACACCTATTACACAGGCTAGCGAAATCACCCAGGATTTCAATGGAATAATAATCATGGAGCTCAGATCGTGCCACCCGAATTTCAGCAAAATGAGAAGAAGTCTTCACTAGAAGAACTTGTGACTAAGTTAGTAAAAATATCCACTCAACATGATAAGAGTGCAAAATATCATAATTTTCCCCCTTAATTATTCCATTCGTGTTATTATTTGATACAAAAATGCACTCATTATACTTATACTTTGATTCATGTAGCATTTTGGTAGAAAAGTTGAAATTTAGAAGAAAAGAGCAAAAAATGACCAAAATGGAAGAAAGTGTAAGTTCAGAGATCAAGTTGAAAATAATCCATAATGAGATGGGCGATGGTATGATGATTCAAGAAATCTAGGAGTCAATTGGGTATAATTTGAAGTCAAAAGAAGTGAAATATGACCAAAACATCTTCACAAATCAATTCCCAATTGAAAAAGTTACGCATTGATTTTCAGCCTTATATTGGAACCTATTTTTGACATGTAAAACGATCTATCTAGAAGATTGTGTCTGAATCAAAGTTGTAGCCCTTTGAGTTATCTTTCCAATGCAACTTGAATTACCTTAATCGAATATTGGGAGAGAAAGTTATGACCAAAATACTAAAAGCTATCCGGCAGAGAAAATGGTGACAACCATGTGGTCGCATGGCTGCCTTCGGAGAACTTCTGGGGCCATTTTGGTTAGCGATCTCATGGGTATTTTTCAAGGGCAAAATCCCAGATTCCTATTTTGACGCGGACACTTATGGAAACTTGTTTGACACACGTTTTTAAGCCCTGATCTCGACCCAGAACGTCATTCTTCCTCTCCACATTAATTTTTTACTCATCTTGGGTGAAGAAACTCCATGGAAGGCTAGAAATCCTTGGTGAAGTAAGGGAGGAACTCGATTGTATCGATTATTTCAACATTCTTTCTTGCATGCATTTTTTTTTCATTGTTAAAAATTCTAGAATTAGATTTCTTATGTTTGTTGGGTATGTTTGAGATTGGGTTAGATCATATTAGATTTTCATGAATTCAATCAAGTTTTTTTCATCGAATGATCGAAGTATTTATTGATTTTCAATTTCAAACCATTTGTTGATGTGATCTTTTACTATCATATGCTTGAGGTATATGATCGATTTTGGATCTAATTTTAATAAACAATTGTAGAATTATGTTGTGCAAGAAATCTTGATTTGGAACTCTTAAGGAATTAAAGAAGGGTTTGAATGTGTAGATCTTCCAATTAAAGTGTTAGCGTAAAAAAAAAATCCTTTAATTGAGTATCTTCATGCAAAATTGACGTTGATTGATCCGATCTAATCGAGGGAATTCCAGCGCTTCACTGCTTAACACATTGCTTTAAATTTCCTTAATTTATACATTGTCATTTGAATTCTATTTCAATTGACACATTACATTTACATAAAATCACAACACAACCCTAGCTTTTGATTCTTTGGATTATTTTCCATCTCCCTGTTGATACGACGCCCCAAAGCTATACTACAACCACCGCGTTATACTTTGGATGTAATCACAACACATGCAACGAACTAATAAGAGTTGTTCAAGGTGCTGCCATAAAAAAATTTGAAAAAGACAAATAGCCAAGACATTCTCAGAATAACTATTAGGAGCATTGTCTAGTGATGTTGAAACAAATCCTAAGAAGCACTACAAAAATATAACTACTCATAGTGTGGTACAGCTACCTTAGATAAATGTAAGGAGACCAATTACTCCATAGGAGAAGGTATCCACCACGATTGAGGAGCACTTAAAGAGCTTGAGCAAAACAAAGAACAAGAGAAAGTATCAGAAAATCCAACTATTAAGGTAACCACTCATGCCAAAGAAATTGTTCAACCACTCCGATTCCCATTTAGGCTACAGAAGCATAAACTGGATAAGCAGTTCTTGAAGTTTCTTGAGGTATTCAAAAAGTTGTAGATCAACATACCATTGGTGGATGCACTTGGACAAATGCCCAACTATGCGAAATTTATGAAAGAGATACTCACAGACAAAAATAAGATGAAAGATTTGGGGACAATGATGTTG